CTATATGGGGCTGGCACCCTAATCACTGAGCCACAGGCGCTGCCCAGGGCATGAATATCTTAAAGTCCTCTTATGACTAGAGATTTTTCCAAAACTGAAATGACCTTGGATTATTATTTTTGCCTGAACAGCCCTCTTCAACTTTCCAATGTATTTCTCCCTCATTATGTTGCATTATTTTTCTAAATCGTAAGTAACTGTGAGGATAATGGCAGCTGCTATTCAGGCACTTTGTTAAAGGCTTTACATGCCTTATCTTATTTGATGTAATCCTCACACACCCTCCAATGTAGATTGTATCATCTTCATTTCTGCTACAGGAACTGAAGTACAAGGAGATGAAATCACTTGCCCAAAGTTATGTTGGAGCAAGTTAGGGCTAAAGCCAGTGCCAACGCAGAACTTGAATCCAGCTCCATCTGAGGACAATGCCCAGACTGTGCTCCTTTTGTGTTTCTGTTCTTTGCACCAGAGCTACAGAAAACTTCAGAAGCCCTGCTCTACATGTTGGCACCAGGGCAGGTCATGTAGCTAAATGCTTAGTGTGTCATTTCTAGCTATGAAGGGCATAAAGGGCTTTCAAAGAGGAGAAAGAATGAGCAACACATTACTGGAAGCTTTGAATCCCACCAATGCTCAGCCAGCTCTTCCAGGGGTTATGCAAGCCCAGTGATGTGGTTGCTACCAAAAAACCACATAGACTCATCACCTCCTCCTTCTACTCCCCCACAAGGTTTCTTGAAAGTCCCTGGATTACATATATTACCCAGATGAGCCACATACCCATGAAAATGAGCACAGAGGAGAACCAGGACTGGCTCAGCACTCAGGTAATGGTGGAGGGAGGGTCCTTCAGACCACCCCAATGAATCTCATCACCTCAACTGATAATAATGCACCTTAAAGAGTAGGTGCCTGGGGCCGGGCACCATCAAGTGCTTTGCATTTATCTACATGAGAGATTATTTAATCTTAAAAGCACACAATTGTACTTACTTTGCAGACGATAAAATTGAGGCACAAAGAAGTTGAATAACCAACATAAGTTCACCCAAGTAGGTGACTGAAACAGTTCTTAAACCTAGGAAGTTTAATTACAGGGCCTTTGGTCTAAACCAAGAGTCAGTCAACCACACGTCAAAGGCCAAATCCAGGCTAGGCTTGTTTTTATAAATAAAGTTTAATTGGAACACAAGCATGATCATATTGTATGATCCATTCACACACTATTCACATGCTATTTGTGACTGCCTTCATGCTGCCACAGCTGAGTTGAGTAGTTGTAAAAAATTAAAACATTTACTACTCTCACC